ACACTGTTAATACCCTATATAATTCGACTTAACAACAATAATAAGACATAAAAACCAATAACACTTATTTTTCTTCTTTCTCTTTTTCCACTTTTTTTGGATATAGTTGTATTATTAGGTATTACCATTACATTATTATTACGTATTATTTTTACTGTAATTACCATTTCTTAATAATTTATACGTATATATTTATACTTCTCTCTCTGTAAGAACATAACTCACTCTATCTCTAAAGAATGAATTCCCTATGTGCAGATTATACATAAATAAATAGAAATAAACGAATAATACATAGATTGATAGACTTAATACTTGATTTACGATTCTCATTCTCATTCTTCCAACCATTGCATAAATGGAAGTGATTCCGGCTGTGGGTGGGCGTTGCAAAGCTAATAAAATCCCATAGGAAATTAAACAAAATAAACTTAATTCCTTACTCTAGAAAATTAACTGTTTTAACTATCTAAGTATAGGTCGTTTGTTACAAATGATAATAAATTTAATCAACCAAGATCAATTGTAAGTTCATTCAAAAGCGTGCTTTCTAAGAAACATTTTTTGCCTATTTTTAAGTAAATAAGTCTTCGACATTTATTTTTCGCAGCTTTTACATGTAATAAAAAAGGCTTATTCAATAAGCTAAGCAGGGTACAAACTTCTATAGTTCCACGCGTGTCGGACTTATCTTAAAAGCGTCCTTGCATCCTTTTCGAAAATTGTATTTTCCTTTGTTAGGTTGTTTTTTATTTTTAATGATAAGCCTTCAGAATTATCCTGATTCAAATTAATTAAGATTGTGAGAGAGAAGCGTGTAAAGAAGGAGGACTGGGCCGAATATAAGCGTTCCATGTACGGATGCAAGGTTAGCTACCGGGATATTTTGGATGCAAGGTCTGAAAAGTATTTCGTCCGGGCATATTTTACATGACCGTTGAGTGTGAAAGGCCGTACTTTTCGAAAAGTCCACTCCATTGAGCGTGCCATGTCGTATTGGCTTTTATAACCTCGTGAGCTGTAATTCAAGACAGTCTCGATTCTTGTAACCTCGTACTCCACCGAACAAATGAGGAATGGAGTTGAGAGTGAATAGAAACCGTGGTTCTGCAGAAATCTCTAAGTTTAGTTAGAAAAACTTAGGCGTAAAATTCAGCAGGGAAAATAGTTTGCGTATAAAAAATCTTAACACTTTTTCTATGATGTCATAATGATGAGTTCTAGGACATTAGGGGTTTTCACGATGTTTGTAAGATGTTAACTCTTATTAACTCGAATAGAGAAATGTCTAGAAAGATTGTGATACGTTAATTTTTCCGCAATGCTGCGTGTGACGACTAGAACCAAAAATGACTATAATAGTCCTTAAAGGCTTGTTATTGTTTGTTTTGGTTTTCTTTTTTGTTAAATTGTAAAATGCCAGAAGTTAGTAAAAAAGAAAAATTAATCAATGCTTTCATTCAAAATGCTATCTATGCACTAACAGCCTACTACTTTGTAGGATAGGGTATATATCTATTATGAATCAGAGTTAAGGGCAGGTGAGAAATTAACGAAAGAAATGTATTGGTCTGATTTAATTAATGCGTATTTAAGAATAAAACTACGTGTAAACAAAAAACAGCTGTTAAATTCATGGCTGCCATGTTGGTTACCTACGCCCTAACGGATAGCAACGTGACTAGATTTTCGACCTAACATCTAACATTGATCTTGGCCTGTTAGATCGAGCAATGTTAACTGGCCGATTATTATAAGTCTATGTCATCATTTTTCTCTATCTATCTCGACCTAACAGAGTTAACAAGGTTAACAAAAAGATCGTGAACACCCCTTTTGTATGTAAAACATTTACTAATCTAGTGATGCAGAGTTAATATTTATTTCCATTATATATACATGGACTTTTGTTTGTTTAATTTTTTTGATTCACTTGTTAAAAAGATATACCTAAAAAATTACAGGGTTGTTAATTGTATGATCGAAATCTTCTTAATTTAATTCTTTTTTTAATTTTTGGCAATGAATTGAATGGCAAAAGTGTGTGGTGATTAGTGACCGTTAATCGATAATTATTCAGAAATCGTGAGATGCGGTCTGGTATGATGTAGGTTTCAGAAAAACCTTTTCTTTATCGAGCCAACGTTTCGATCTTTATTGAGATCATCTTCAGGGCTCAAAGTGTTTGTCTTCTGTGTAATTGTGCCATTTTTGCGTGTCGTGACAGGGCACTCTCAACACGACACGCAAGAATGGCGCAATTACACAGAAGATAAACACTTTGAGCCCTGAAGATGATCTCAATAAAGGTCGAAACGTTGGCACGATAAAGAAAATGTTTTTCTGAAACCTACATCACACCAGACCGCATCTCACGATTTCTGAATAAATAATTAATAAAAGGTTGAACAGTTCGTCGTTTCCTCCATATAACAACACTGTATATATTATTCCCATCTCACCTCAGGCAGCGTGTGTGCTTATGGTCGATAGCGGATTTATAAAACTATCTCATCGACCCTAATTTAGGTTAAAAATCTAATTTGTTTATCCTATGTTTTAAATTGGAAATATCAATTAGAGGTAAACACACTTAATCCTAAATCCAAAACAAGTATAAAGGATTTTTCAATGTTTAATTTTTACGGAATTTTTATTTTATTCAGTCTCATTTGAATTCTGAAGCCATGAACTGTTCAGTTTCATCTTTGTTTTCTTAATTTCAATTTTTAAACTTCAAAATGCCACTTAGTGCTGAGCGTGCTGCGCGTGGTGTGGCACTTGCTGAGGATGGACGTTTCATCAGGTATGCAGTTATTGCCATCGGAGTTCCCTACGAAACTCTGCAAGACGTTTTTATTTGTTTTCAAGAAACTGTGTCCTTCCATAGAAGGATCGGTTCTGGACGCCCTAGGATAATAAACCACGGAATGACCGATTTTGGTCTGTCTCTCTGCTTTGAGAAGAACCTGCACCTTACTGTTGTCCAAGCGATTCATCAGCCCCAGTTAGTTCGAGGCGTCCAAATTTATAACGCACTGCTCGAAGAAGATTAAATCAATATGGACTGATGGTTTTCGCCTCTTAAGAGAACCAGAGTTCCACCGCTCGCATTTACTTGAGAACACAACCATTGGTTTTTGGACCAGTCTGTTGTACTTTTTATAGATGAGTGTAGATTTGCTATCTCCAAATGGGCGTGAAAAAGTGCGGAGAAGGCAAAATGAAAGGTACAAAGCCTGTAATTTTTCCCAAAGCCAAACTTCTCAACGTAGCTCAGTGATGGTGTGCGATAATTTCAATGGAGAGTCGCACAGAGTTGGTTGTTGTTCGTCGAGGGTCTTTGACGGCCACTCGCTATGTGGATGAATTTTTGGAACATCATTGCCTACCCTCGATAAAACACGACAATCCTATTCTATCTAATAAACAATAATGCTTGTCCACAAGTGGCTCGCATTGTATATACCTACCTCCAACAGCATAAAATCAGCGTTCTCGCCTGGTCAGCCTATTCTCTCTTGAACGCAATCAAACATTTATGGGATAACCTAAAAAGACGAATAGGAACCCATCCCTACTAGATACACTCCACAATCTTGAAATTACTTTTCGTGAAGAACGGGCTAACCTCCAGGATATTAACATTTCTATTCTGGTAGAAAGTATGCTGACGCCACTTCGAGATGTCATTAAAGCAAGAGGAGGAATACGCGGTATTGAAAAGCTAATTAAAAATTTAAAACAAATTTTATCTGTCCGTCTTTTTTTATTATTACTAGACAATTAATTAAGGTATTTAGTTGAGATGAAAAAACGTTAATGGCACGAGAGGGATTCGAACCTCGATCCACTGGGACATCAACTCCCCATCTCAACCACACCTTATGAGTTTTCCCTCCCTTTGCCATTTGGCATTGAGTCCATTTGAGTGGATCGAGGTCACGATAGCTCAGGTGGTAGAGTAGCGGGGTATCTAGCCGAAGGTCGTGGGTTCGAATCCCTCTCGTGCCATTAACTTTTTTTCATCTCAACTAAAAACCTTAATTAATTGTCTTATATTAATTGGTCAAGCGGACCACGAAAATAGTGAATTAATGATTTAAAAATGAAGTACACTTCACTAAAGCTCTCCGTCGCCATTTCAATTGTCGTCGAGAATCCAAACCGATTACACATTTGAAAAATGGCAAAAGGAGGCAAAACTCATAAGGTGGGGTTGAGATGGGGAGTTGATGCCCGAGTGGATCGAGGTCACGACTCACGATAGCTCAGGTGGTAGAGCAGCGGCGTATCTAGCCGAAGGTCGTGGGTTCGAATCCCCCTCGTGCCATTAACTTTTTTTCATCTCAACTAAAAACCTTAATTAATTGTCTTGAATTAATTGATCAAGCGGACCACGAAAATAGTGAATTAAGAATTTGTTATTATTGCCAACTGGCTCAATCTTCAATCTATAAAAAAAATCAAAAGCCTCATCCCCAATTTACCTTTTGGAAAGAAAAAAACTACCTGTTTAACATAAGACTCGTTTTTAAGGCATAGGGATTAATTTAATAATTAAAAACCAATATTAATGGAAGAAAAATCACAATTTATTTTTCTTTTTTTTATAGAAAAGGCTTGTAATAAATTAAAAGCTGCATACACATTGAGAAGTTTCAAAAATACAATTTTAACATGAAATAATGTTCTTGATTCTTTGAGCAACATTTCCAGACCTTGTGTTCCATTAACAATAAAACATTTGAATGTTTCATTCTCAATACAATCTTGTTTAGCCTAACAATTTTGAGTATCAAAAAAACAAATATATAACCATATCTAAACACAACTGAAACGGTAAATTAACAAGAATCACAATAAAATTTACTTGGATTGTTTCCAAAAGTCAAACCTTGTATGACAAGTATAGCCTAGTATCAGTTATCGGCATTTCGATACGAATGTCAACAATCAACAAAATTTGTACGAACAAAGAACATATTTCACTTCTTTTATTTTTAAATTTATTAATTAAATTAATTTACAACTCGTTTCAAGTACGAAAAAATAAGTGAGACTAGGCCATTAGTATATTCATCTATACAATGGGTCCGGGACCCCAACATCCGTATAATATATACAAATTAAAAAATAATTTATATTTTACAAAATGTGACATATAACAATAAATTTCCTCCTGTAAACACTTATCGTATGAAAATAACTTAGTTTTCTATAAACTACATATGGCTAGATCGTGGCACAAAAGAAAACAATATGTACAGTTTTAATCAAACAACTCATTGGTAAAACAGTTACGAATAAAATATATCTATATATTTAAAAATATAAACAATTTTAAGTACGTTTTGTAAGTAATATGCTTTCTCCTTTCTACGTCTTAACAAAGAGAAATCCCGTGCGAAAACATGGCGCTTTTATATTTCGACATATACGTTTAACTTCAAAGATAATTTAAGAATTTGAACACATATCCAACAAAAGTCACACCGAGGAAAATAGGGTAACAATCAAGGGTTAACATTCAATTAGGAAAGAAGATTTAACCACGTGTTTCCTTCGCATGTATAAAAATAACCTGTCAGTTCTGGCTGATAATTATTTATTGAATGGAGTGGCCTAAAGTTTAGCATCACATTTATTACCTCTAAGTTTTAAAAAAAAATGTAACGTTCGGTTTTGAAATTGAACGCTAGGCAGATATTATTGAGCAAGCGAGTTGTACATTTAGGGATGGAGGCCCATCGAGTTACGGGCTGAACACACAAAGGGGAAGGGAAACTCACTAAGTTTTTAAAGTTTTGAACTTTGAACAAAAATCGCCCATTATGAGAAGAAATATTTGGAAAGCTGACGTCGGTCCGCCTAACAGTGCTAGGCGGAACGAAGTGGCTTTTTCATAAAAGGAAGCTTTTCTTTCGGTACGAAAAGATCACCCCCTTTTTTTGGAACTAATAAATTAAGGAACTATGGTTTTAATTTAAACCGGAGACAGTTTTTGTTCAAAGCTGTGAGTTTTTTCTCTTTGGTTGGCACTAAGTAAATTATCTAAATCGGGAGAAGATTCCGTAGTTGGCGATAAAGATTGTGGTGACGGGTACTCTTCGTTTGTAATGGGCGTGCCGTTACTCGGGTCGTACCTCGAATGCGTACGCATATGCCTAGTTATCATATCTCTTCTGCAGGCGGCGTACGGGCACTGGGGGCATTTGTAAGGTTTCTCTCCTGTATGTGTCCTTTGGTGCGTCGAGAGGTGATCGGATCTCGAGAAGACCTGACCGCATACTCGGCACGTGTACGGTTTGACGCCGGTGTGCAGCCTCATGTGTCTCGTGAGCATATCCGATCGCGCGAAAGATCGTTTACACACGTCGCACAGGTAAGCTTTGGTGGTGGAATCCGTGCTTTGCGCCCTGCTCTTGTGCCTCGAGGCCATGTGTTTGGCGAGCCTGTCGTGGAGGCTGAACATTTGGCCGCAGACCGGACAGACGTACGCGACGTCCGAGCCGGGAGGCATTTCTTCCACGACAGGGGACACTTCCAGATTATACCAGACCGCTACGGATTCTTTCGTCGCCGGTGAAGCCACGTCGCCTTTGACGACGGGCACGGGCACGTTGCCTTTAGGATGCATAAAGCCCCCAATCAAAGGAGGTATGGAAGTGAAAGAATCCCCGGAGCTGGGGGACGTCTCGGAACTCCTGGAGCTTTTCATCGACAGGTCGAGAGGCGATTCCTGTGGGGAACTGTGCACCGACGTATCCGTCCTTTCGACTTTCGCCTCAAACCAGAGTGGTAAGTCGCTGTCCGAATGAGACCGTCTGCGAAATATATCTGGCAGATATTTCGAATGAAGGTATTGCTCGAAGCTGTACACGGGAGCGGGCATCGGCGGTGTAACGGGAGACACGGGATAAAACCTGTCCATTGGAAAAGAATGGATCGGCACACCGGATACGCAATGTGTACACGTGCATCCGGAATACCGGGGGTGGGGGCTATAATGACGATCAGACTTATGATATTTGGCTTCTTGATGAGGAGACTCTCTTTCTTCTTCTTCTAACGAATCTTTCAATCGTAGGGGGCTGAAACTGATCTTGGGCGAATCGGTGTTTGACGAATGAGGCGATTTCGACGACGAGGCCTGGCTGAACACCTCATCTTCCTCTTCCGACGGATAACAGTAGGGTTCTTTGAGTTTGGAATTTTTGAGCAACGGTTGAGCAGGATCTATCAATTCTTCTTTCACCCGTACATCGTGGTTGTTGTTATTGTTGTTGTTGTGATGGTGGACGTTGTTGTTAAGAGGGAGAGCTTGAGTAGCGAGCTGGTCCACAACTTGGTTAAGCCTTTTTCGCTTTCTCTCTTTTTTCACTCCATGATGGTGGTGATGATGGTGATTATTATTCGTAGCGAGAGGATGATTGTTATTTTTGTACTCGGCGTATCTTCTCAGCAGTCCGACGGGGTGGTTGGTACTAGTTTCTACTTGCGCGTCAGCCATGGTCATCAGTTCTTTCAGACGGCGGCCGTGGGCCGCTCTTTTTCTAGGTAGCTCGAAGTGTTATTAAATCATCCAGCATGCCGCTCCAAGGCCCGCCAACAGTATTTGTTATTCTACTGGAACAGTCGCATACCTGAAACAGAAAATGAAATGATTAGAACGGAATAAAAGGATTTGCCGCTAAGAAGTAAGATAAATCAAGAAGATAACTGGTAACCGTTCCATTTTTTTAGGTCTTGTCCTGAGACAGAATCGACTTGTCTTTCTTTGACATAAGAACGCGACAACTCCCTCGCCATAACTCAGTGCTAATTCCTTGCACTCTGCCCCGTCCTCCATTTAAGGACCAGCTCTGGAAATAATCAATAATTGATTTTTACCGAGAAGTCTACGCTGAGTGGGGGACAAATACGCGAAAGGGTCGCCGGCACTGATTTATTGCACGCCCACAGCTAACAACCCAAACGGATTATTGCGCCACGGAATCCGAATTCCGATCGGCTAGATTCACAGAACAGACCTAGAGACCGGCTCCGGCTCGGGCGACGTAGAAAAAAAATATAAAAATGCAAATTCGATTTTCTCCGGTGTGTTTTTTCAAGAATTGAATTTCCCCCCGAGTGTGTGGAGGAGTGTGTATTGTTCGAGAGTGTGGATAATCGGGAGAGGAGACCGCGCCATTGTCAGTCGTGGCACGGGACAAAGCTCCGCTGTGCCCTAAAAACCGTCTCCTAAGGGAATTTTTCTACACGCACGTGTCGCGGAGAAGAACGTAGGGGAATTGTGTGCAAATCTAGGAGCTGGTCGGGATTTGTCCCTGGAGGCTAGCGGCCACCCACTCCCCCTCCGCTCCATTAACCTGAATTATCCCCTTTGAGGGAGCCTCCTCCTTGACCGGCTAATCTTCCTAGCCTCAGGCCCGGTTATCAGCCTTCAGAAACAGCCATTATTCTTAATACTAGGTTTCGAATAACGACCCCAAGGAAATACTATTAGGCCGCTTCCTTCGGCTTGTTCTGTTTTTCTAACCCTAGTTAACAAATTGACAACACCCCCTCTTCACCAACGAACTAATCGACAATAATAACAACCGCAATAGTCCTTCGTCGAATCAGAAATTTCAACCCCACTAATTGGCATGTCACCAATAGATTTTTTTAAACATAAATGAAACCCGGCAAAAATTTCTCTTATGTTCGACTAGCCGGTTAAAACTTTTTAATTTTCTAATAATTGTAAGTATTTTAAACACAAAAAATGAAATGAAGTGGTTTTGGGTGAATGTGAAGAGTGTAAATTTATACTGTGTGAAAGAATTTTATGACTAAATCAAATGGATTTGAAAGCACGAAAGCGTTTCAACCACGTTTACAGCAGATAACCTGAGGTATTCGGATCGATTGATAAATTAAAGGAAAAAAAAACGTCGAAGAATTTCAGGTTTCTCAGACAGTAAATTTCGTGAAAATGATCGAACTTTAACAGAATGAAAGGATCGTAAAAATGGACTGATGACAGATAAGAAAGAATTTGTGAAATATTATTGACAGGCCAGGGAGCTGATGACTGTTCAGCGGTTTGATGGAATCTCGAATGGGTCCCCGCCTATATTCGGTTCTCATTCAGGTCAATACGCTTTTCAACTTAATTGATCAAGGTTCTTCAATTCGTAACAGCTAGCCAAACCGAAGTGTACCCTTAAAATTCTTCGGCACATTCTGGCCAAATTTAGATAGAAAGAAGAAAACTGGAGAAAAAGAAAGGAAAATAGAATAAATTTTAACTATCCAATATTTTACTGGTAGACTCTTGATATTACGAAACCCAAGGAATGACAAAAATAATTCCATTTATCAGATCAACTGTAAAATTGAACATTGTAATGCATTATTAAAAAAATTTTGTTTCAATGTGGCCTGACGTTCAGCCTAAATGATTTTCTAAAGTGACCAGTGCTGAGAGCACATTGGCAAAACTCTGACCGCCGAACAAACTAGAGAAAACTCAAAGAAACTATAGGCTGTAAGGAAGTAAACCATAAATGGAAATTTAGAGGAATTTAAATAGAAAAAGTTCAAATTGTAAATAGTGGGTCAATTTCGATCTATAGAAAGCTCTTTCTCCCGCAGTTACGAAAAATATTTCGTATAACCGAGTATATCAACATACACAGAATTTTTCGAGTCACCAAAGAGACTGCTGAGGAGTTTGTATTATCAAGAAATTCGAATTTTCCAATTTCAAACATAAGTCGACTGTTGTATTATTTTAGATCTTTTCCATGAATTTGGTTGTCCTCAATTATTGAACAATGAAATATTGTTGATGGAAAGAAAACAATAATACGAAGGAACTACCAAAATTATTCAAGTTCAAACTAACATAAGTCGACTGTACTATTTTAGATCTTTTCCATGAATTTGGTTGTCCTCAATCGTCGAACAATGAAATATTTTTGATGGAAAAAAAACAAGAATACGAGAGAACTACAAAAATTATTCAAGTTCTAATTAACATATGTCGACTGTTGTATTATTTTAGATCTTTTCCATGAATTTAGTTGTCCTCAATCATTGAACAATGAAATTTTTTTGATAGAAAACAAAGAATACGAGGGAACTACCAAAATTATTCAAGTTCTAATTAACATATGTCGACTGTTGTATTATTTTAGATCTTTTCCATGAATTTGGTTGTCCTCAATCGTCGAGCAATGAAATATTTTTGATGAAAAAAAAAAAAACAAGAATACGAGAGAACTACCAAAATTATTCAATTCAAATTAACATAAGTCGACTGTACTATTTTAGATCTTTTCCATGAATTTGGTTGTCCTCAATCGTCGAGCAATGAAATATTTTTGATGGAAAAAAAAACAAGAATACGAGAGAACTACCAAAATTATTCAATTCAAATTAACATAAGTCGACTGTACTATTTTAGATCTTTTCCATGAATTTGGTTGTCTTCAATCATTGAACAATGAAATATTTTTGATGGAAAAAAAACAATAATACGAGAGAACTACCAAAATTATTCAATTCAAATTAACCTAAGTCGACTGTACTATTTTAGATCTTTTCCATGAATTTGGTTGTCTTCAATCATTGAACAATGAAATTTTTTGATGGAAAAACAAACAATAATAATACGAGAGAACAGAGAGAAATTATTGAAGTTCTAATTAACATATGTCGACTGTTGTATTATTTTAGCTCTTTTCCAAGAATTCGGTTGTCCTCAATTATTGAACAATGAAATATTTTTGATCGAAAAAAAAAACAATAATACGAGAGAACTACCAAATTGTTCAAGTTTCAAATTAACATAAGTGGACTTTATATCTTTTCCGTGAATTTGGTTGTCCTCAATCACTGAACATATTCTATTGATAGAAAACAAACAATAATACGAGAGAACTCCCAAATTATGCAAGTTTCAAATTAACATAAGTCGACTGTACTATTTTAGATCTTTTGCATGAATTTGGTTCGCTTCAATCATTGAATAATGAAATAATTTTGATGGAAAAAAAACAATAATACGAAAGAACTACCAAATAACTATTCACCAAATCACAAAAATATTACGATTTCACAAAAAATCTGACAAACTTTAAATGTTTTTTTAGCAATTTTAAAAAGTAGTTCCAATCTCGCTGTTACCGGAGCTGTGTCAAAACAAAACTCTTAGATAATGCAATATCTCTATTTCCTTCAAACAGCTAATTCAGCACAATTTTGTGATAAAGCTGACTGATGGCAGGCGAACAAAAAAAAAGCGAAATACTCCGTACTTGGTTTGACGTAACCTCGGGTCCGTCGATACAAGCTCTTTCGAAATAAGGAAGTCGGTTTATTTAGACATACTAGTTTGCCCAAGGATTCCTCCTGATCGACTATCGACCCTGTGGAATGCGAACAGGTGGAAATATTAATTCGTGTGTAGGAGGGGATCGAGGTAGCCTTGACTCGCGTGCAGCTATTCACATTAGCACCTTTCACGCGGTTGCTGTCCACGGAAAACCCGTCCCTTTTCCTGGAAATCCTTACAATTTGAATTTTGAACGACGCTTTCACGGACAAATGGCAATCTTAGGTCGCAGAGAACAAATCGAGTCAAGTTTACGAAAAAATCTAGGCTAATCGATAACTAAATTTTAGGGTTAATAAATAATTAAATGTGATTTAGAAAGTATGTCACTTGCTACTTGCTATAATTGGTTTAAATTACACGATCGGTCTTTATTTCAATTTTTTTCTACATTCTTATTTTGTACTTATTCTATTTCAGCTTCTACACCCGAACCCTAACACTCACACGCGCGAACATTAATTTTTGACTTTAATAATCCAATGGCACAAAGGTCGGAGATTCAATCAAATTTTCGTATCCAAATTCAAAATTACAGGTCCAATTCTGTAACATTTCTGCAAGGAATAGATTTTGGAGAATCTTTCATGATTAAACATTTTAATTTATTTATTTGCTTATTATTTTTGGAAAGAATCCTTTAGGTCTAAGATCATTATTACAAATATGAAAACCCTTACTTTTTGGAACTCTATACAAATTTGTACGTACAAATAATTAGGTGTTATTATTTTTGTACGGGCCATGGGTGATTAGAAAAGCCGAAAGCACTTCTTTGATTTATCGACGTTTCGGTAGTGCTAGTACCTTAAAGTAAGTTATGATATTATATATATATATGTGTGTTACACCACAACTTACGTTAAGTCCGTGTTATTTTGGCCTGAAGAAGATACTAAAAGTACCGAAACGTCGCGAAAGTCAAAAAAGTATTTTCAGCTTTTCTAATCACCCATGGCCCCTCTCTCATTCTTTCTTTCTCTCTCTCTCTCTCTCTCTCTCTCTTTCGTTCTTTCTCTCTCTCTCATTCTCTNATAGATTTGCAGGCATACCTCGACCAGAGGAAAGTACTTAAATAGTACTTAAGACGTCGTAAAGTAATTTGGTTTTCAAGGAATACTTTTTCCTTTGAGAAAACTGGTGTTTGTCTTTTTAATCTCGTTAATATGGATTATATATATATATAAATTTGAGTTGTGTATTATTAGAATGAAAAAATAAATGTTTTTCTTCTTCTTCTACCAAATTGTCAAAAGAAGT